TTAATTGAAGCTGCAGGGAGAGCGGCGCGCCATCATTCGCAGCTGGCGAGCCGCGCGCCTTATTACGGCCGACGGCGCGCTTATATGCAGTTTCGCGGGAGACGCCATATTTGAATTCGCTCACCACCATTTGGCGTTGGAGCGCGTAAAAAGACAGAAATATCCTTAACTTCTCTTTTCTTCTTTATGACATTTTTTATTTACATTGTTCGCTTTTGTGATTTTGTTTCTTTGTCTCAAAATTACATTTATCAATTTTGACTTTGCTTCCCATTATTTTCATTACTGCTCACTATCACGCCTGTTTTCGAGCGTTTTTTAATAGTTTTTTGTCGATAGCATGTGAAGCCTTTCTTCCTTGCTGATGAGTTCCGGGAAAGGCTCAGATTTCATTTCTGTTTTCCGTCCAAGGGCAGGAACGAAACGGAGTTTGGTTTTTTCTTTAGTTCTTTGTTTGGTTTTTGCTGTTGCATATTGATTTTCCAATTTTCCTTTCCCTTTGTTTTCATTTCCATTATCAGACCTCCTGGCAAACCTGTTGGACTCACAATCTAAGTAGCTTGCGAAGCCTTTCTTCCTTGCTGATGAGTTCCGAGATCCAGACTGCGACGCGCGTGCCATTAACCCGCGGCACGCGTTCCAATCACTCGCGGCGCGCGTACCATTTACGGTCCAATCACTCGCGGCGCGCGTACCATTTACGTTCGAATCACTCGCGGCGCGCGTACCGTCTATTCGCGGCGCGCGTTCCAATTACTCGCGGCGCGCGTTCCAATTACTCGCGGCGCGCGCACCATTTACTCACGGTGCGCGCGCCATTTGACGGCCGGCGGCGGGGGATACGAGAGCCTCCGCGCACTTGGCGCGCGCGCCGCCGCAGCGAGTGTCTGAGAATGAACCGTATATCGTCAGATGCTCCTTGATGAGCTGATTCCAAATCTACCTTCCTTGTCTGCGACAACGTTATTTGCAAAAAGTTATGAGCGGTTGAAAATGTGAAGTTATTGGGGTTTTCAATGCATAATGTGCTTCAAAATCCAACTTGGGAGTTTATGACTAGCATGATATTGAGTGTACTGATTTCAAGGAATGCTCGCATTCTAATGAAACACAAATAAGTGTTTTTAAACAATTAATTTTTGATTTATGGCATTGTATATTTGCCAAATTTGGAGTTTTCATTGCTTGTAGCTTTTACCAAAGAACTTTAGTTACTTTTTAGCTGTTCAAAAACACTTATTTGTGTTCCTTTTGAATGTGAGCATTCCGTGAAATCAGTACAATCAATATCATGCTAGTCGTGCACTTTCAAGTTGGATTTTGAAGCATATTATGCATTAAAACCCCAATAACTTCACATTTTCAACCGCTCATAACTTTTTGCAAATAAGGTTGTCGCAGATATGGAAGGTAGATTTGAAATCAGCTCATTAAGACGCATCTAACGATATGCGCTTCATTCCAATTCGCCACCTTAAGTTGGGATCGTTCCCTTGTAAGAACAACTTTCCATAGATTCTACGAAGACTGCCTCCCCGCTACGTGTCAGGAGAAATTTGACACGTTTTGGTCCATTTTGACTTGTTTTTTATTTTCAGTGAGGTAAACAAGCATTTGTGACTGCCTAATAGCCTCTCAACTGTTTTCTACAAGAGCAAAACTGTCTAGAACTTATCGCAGACCATCTTGATTGCTTTTAGCACTAATTCAAAAGTGTCTTCCTCTTCAAACTTCCCGCCATGCGAATTTAGCCAAAAGAGACTAGAATGATGGCTTGCAGTATCTTGCTGCTGCTTGTTTCACCGCATGGATAGTGGAATCCCAGCGCACTTACCATTCTGGGCAGGTCTAATCCTTCCAATGATAAAAGGATGACGTTATTATCATAGCAGTACTCATCTCTGGAATTGTTTAGTTGAAAAAGAGGGTCATTATTGACTAAAATACAGATTGAACATACGTCGCTATTTAGTGCCACACGATGCCTTGGTAAAACTTTTAAGGGTGCCTTCATACCGCGCCGGCAGCCGCCGCTGGCAGCCCGTAGCAGCCGCTGGCAGCCCGCAGCAGCCGCTGGCAGCCCGTAGCAGCCTGCAGCAGCCGTTGGCAGCCCGTAGCAGCCGCCAGCAGCCCGTAGCAGCCTGCAGCAGCCGTTGGCAGCCCGTAGCAGCCGCCAGCAGCCCGTAGCAGCCCCCAGCAGCCGCCAGCAGCCCGTGGCAGCCCGTAGCCGCCGCTGGCCGCTTTTGTCATACAAGCGCAAAATCATGAAATTCTTACTATTTTAAGTACAACCGCCTACCCTCTCCATCCTCCACGCTTATTCCTTCCTGTTGCCGCAGTTTGATCTCATATATCAACATACTTTGTCCGTTATTGTTATTATCTTGTTACCGTAGATTGGTTATCCTATCAATGCTCAGTTTCCCTCTCGCAATTGAACCATATTTCGCCAAAGTTTCTTCGCAATGTGATTTCTTCTGACTTTGGATGCGTCCAGTTCCTGCAGGTTGCTATTTGTTGATTTTTTAAAGTATGTTCTGTTTCAGTCATATCACATCGGCGTGGAAGATGGAAAGTATGGGCAAGCGCAGGCAAAGGACTAAGAATTTGATGATTTGCGCTTCTATGACAAAGGCGGCCAGCGGCGGCTATGGGCTGCTGGCGGCTGCTACGGGCTGCTGGCGGCTGCTACGGGCTGCTGCGGGCTGCTACGGGCTGCCAGCGGCGGCTGCCGGCGCGGTATGAAGGCACCCTAACATGTAGATGACATGATAGTACGTCAAATTCTATGACACATGGCAGAAGATTGACATTCCTTCCTGTAAATTTGGGACCATATGGTATATGGTCAAAAGCAATATCCATGAAGGTCTGCATAATGGAAAAGTACTGGGCTGGAGTTCAAATTGCATAACTTATTATGAATTTATTCTCCAAAGAAGAGGTTAAGAATAAACTTCGAACAAAAAAGAATTTCATGTGTTCTCGTTTTGAAAACTGGGAATGTTTGCCTGTAAGTTGATTCAGTATTTTTTATGTTGCACAGGTTGGTATGGTGGAACTTTATTGACCTAACGTTTCCAACAACTCGTCTTCGGCGACCCAAGTCTGAAAAACTCCGAAAAATCGTCAAACCTTCTGGGAACGGGTTGTCCTAAAAGGTTTGACGTTATTAATATTAACAGACATAAGAGCCATGTCTGCGACATAGAGCCATGCACTCTAGCAAACTTCATTTTGAGCGACATCCCGGATGTCAAGCTTTTAGAATGATAGTGAACGAAGCAAGTTCTATAGAAAAGCCTAAGAATATCTCAGCGACACAGAATTGCGCTTATATCTTAAACATGCTAAAAACAATATCTTTGTGAAAATATCCTTTAAAATGGCAGCAGCTTTTCTCAAATCTCCTCTCTTTTGTGGCTATCGCTAAGTCTTGAGAATTTCCGCATAATTTTGGTATTCTGTAGAAACGAGAAATTTTGCTTGAACCTTGCGCATAGAGTCCCGCTCGAAAATGCTGGTTTATCGCATCAAGAAATGATTTTTAACATCGCCGATGTCAGTGCTTTTAGTCGTCTCATGACGGACATAATGATAAATGTTGCAAGGTTTCGTTAAGAATTCGTTAGGAATCCGCGAAGATCTCCAACAAAGCCAAGCCCTCTCGGTTCTGTCCTTTCTCCTCTGTTCGCCTGCGTCTCCACTTGCCTCATTCCCACTTAGCCACGCGCTCAACGGGCATTTGGCTCTGATAGCCTTTTCGTGTTCCAAATTGAGTCCTGACAAGATGTGTATCTTCCTGTAGCTCTGGGCTCTCAAGACGCGCTGATAACGTAACCGAACTTCATTTCTTGATTCAAATGAGACTAGCAAAAAACCGATCAAACACCTTTCATTTTTGTTCAAATTAGCTCATTCATGCAGTCTTTTGTGCATTCGATGGATCTTGCTTTTGTCTATGATGTAGATCATTCGTGTTTATTTTCTTTTTTTGTAGCGAACTATTTCGACCTGCAGAGAGTGCGTTTTCCTGATTGCTCTTTTCTGGAATCCGTACGCATTTTCTTTGAGCTTAAGGGTTTCCTGCACAGGATGATGAACAAAACAGCGCAGACAACGTTGCTGAAAACGGAAGCCACAACGCGGGCAAAAATTCCAAGTACTCTCAAAAACTAAATTGGCTAAAAAGGCATTTAACCCCGAGAAAAAAGAAGACTTTTCCTTTTATAGAAAATTTTTTGTTTGTCTTCTTCTTGACGATGGCCACTACCATTCGTCATTGCTTTTGAGACATTTAAAAAGAAAGCATTGTTTTGAATCCCAGCGGAGCGAAAAGCTGCGTTCCAAAATACAGCTGAGTGGGATGTTGAGCTCATCGTTTACGGCTTTCTCAGCTCATCAATTTACGTTTTTTGAAAGTTTTCTGCAAACAATCTTCATTTTTTATGGAGGACAGAGGTTCAGACAACCTTTACCCTTAAGATTCTATCTCTAGATTGACGGAGGTATGTGTACTTATAAATTTAAGCAAGCACACTCATCTCCTTGCTCCAATTCGCCCCAGGTCCAATTTTCCGAAAGTCGAAACAGTGATAAATGCACTTGTTTCCATGCCTGATTGCTTTCATCAAGGATGCCCACTTACCACCTTTGCTAGCTCTCAGTACCGTAGCTCAGAGTTATTTTTGAGCGCTTTGAGCGAAGTATGACAGGTCCCTAAGATTTCATGGGTCTACTTCTATAGACTAGCGCGCGATTATACTTGCTAATTTTCGGCCATCACTGCTTTCTTAGTTTACAGCTTTGAGAAAAAAACACCGTATACAAATGTTTTTGTGCGTTTATTATACGCTAACCATGGGGGGTTTGTAGGATTCCTTGGATTGGAATACAATATGAGACAGTCAGTTTTGTCAGATTACAATCAAAACTCATGCGGATTGCGATTTACGTGGATGTCTGATAGCCAATTGTAGAAATCTTTTGCTCTATATAATGCCCCATACATATTTTATATTCACAGTGCGACTGTAGTTTAAGATAAGCTTATTACTTTTGCATCAATCATTCAAGATTTATACATCACATATTCAAAATTCTTGTCTATATCAGCGATTTCGAAGAACTCGTTTTTCAAAGAAGTACTTTGGAAAAGACATTTTCGCGAACAAGATTTTTTTTGCAACATAGCTCAGAAAATGAAAATGCATGATTGTACGGGAGTTTCCATCGAGTTAGATTACTAAGGGCATAATCCATCTTTGCAAGTGCTTAAACAACTGTCACATGGATTGCCAACTTCGTAAAGTGGTACTGTCTCCGTTTCAAAAATCCTTAACATACGATATGTGTCAGTGAAGCACCATACGATAATTAGACTTACCTTTTCTTATAGAAATAATGACAGGAAATCACCGTAAAAGTGGAACAGCTGTATATTGCGCATCCTAGGTGTTTATTTCCTCCGATAGCCATCTAAATGCCAATCCTTAGTATGCATTTCCATACTTACTACTTCTCACGTTGGCATAATTTCGATATGAGTCGCTCCAAAAATTGACACGTACAAAAGCGCGTTGTCGTAATTGGTCCCAAAACATCCGACAAGCCTGGAAAGAAGTATCTTGTTTAGGCCCTGTAAAGAGAAAATTGCATAAACCTTCTTCGCTGCTCTCATTTTGTCCAAATTAGTGAGTTTTCCAGTTATCTTCTTTGAAAAGAAAAGACTCTCCTTTGGTTGTTCAGCCATGCCGTAGTTGCATTTTCTCGCACTATCCATCGCCCTTTTCTCCAATTCACAGTTCCAGTTCTGATTGTAAAATCACAAAGTATCTGATTTATTAGATGTATTCCACAAACTACCAATCTATACATTCTGCGGGCTGTAGGTGCTTTATTACCCGCAGCGGTTTTTTCCAGTCCACGAGCAATCCTCGATCTGTAGCATAGTTTCAAAGGCAAAGAATTGTCCATTTGAGTTTTACCTATACAAGTTATGAACATTAAGGAAGGTCTGTCTTATAGAGTCTGTCATCCCAGGGCTGTTAGAACACATGTTGTTACTGTTGTCATCTGCAAAGGTTTTCTTACTTAACCAGGTAGAACCTATGGAGTATCTTGCGTTGCCGTTCATTGTTACGGAAACAAATGATGTATTTATCTAGGCTTGTACATCTCACAGTGACAGCTTTATGATAACGACATGCCTACAAGAAATATTCTTTTTCAATCTTCTGGAAATCATGGGCTAAGAATAGTTACTGCAATATCCTCTGTATCAACAATAAGTCGTAAGAACTCTAAGAAAGGCGATCTCGCAAAACTTCCTTCGTGAAGAGTGATTACAATTTTGTTCTAATCTTAATCAGCTGATGCCACGAATAGCCAAAGTGTTCGATAAAATTTGAATAAGTACCGAATGAATGCAAAACAGAAAATATGCCCAACTCGGCAGCGAAAAATGACTTTTAGAGCAGTAAAAATTGCTTAAAAGGAAAAAATTGGCGCTTTTGACGCCGTATCTATTGTGTGAGTTTTCTCAGTTCCAAATTACCACTCTTCATTCAAAATTATCGATTTCGAATTTTTTAAGATGAAAAGTAAGCTGTTGACAGCGTTGGGTATTCTGAAGTAGTATACTTGCATAGTTAAAATCACAATTAAGGTTTTTACTTTTCGGGTCTATTTTTTTAATTTTGGAATTAAATCGCAGTTGGACAATACAGCCACCATTTCAGTCTCGATACTGCTCGTTATTACTAAAAAACTGCAGCGGTCGCCAATCGAAGACTACCGCATAGTTTTACGTTCGCGTCGTATCGCCGTCTCGGTTCAAGGTGGACAAATTTATTTTGGGTTTAAAAAACACCACTCAACTTAGCTCGACGAGATTCAACTCTTTATGCACAAACCGTGAACCGGCACTTTGGTCTTTTCCCGGCACTATGCCATCAGCATCACAAGAGTGTAGGTACTTTCAAACCCTGCACAACCATAGTGAGACCCAAAGCAGATTTTGAAAGAGGTTCGTGCAAAGTGACTACCCTACTCCTAGTAACCCTAAAATGTGGCTTAGTAAGGTTGGGTTCCTACTGCTCTATATGTTCCGGAACAGTTCCAGCACAATGCACAGATCGAGCGCAGTGCTGAAAGTGTTCCTAAACTTACGGATCAGTATAAACCCAGTCTAACGAATCAATGGAAATGTTCCCATCAGCACACTGAATAATTCACTTAGCAAAGAAATGATTAGAATTTGAAACAGCCAAACCAAACAGTTTGCATACCCTTGGATGCAGCATAGAACGCTGACTCTAAAATGCTCTTCATATCTGCTGCATGCCTTTGTGGACGATGTTACAGGGTATTATATTAGGACATTTACAAAAGCTTTGACAACACAAAGTCAAGTTTGGCTTAATTTTGTCCAAAATATGCAGTTTAGTTGGTTTATATAATATGTACCTAAAATATGTCAAAGAGGCAATGGTGTGCCTGATAATGCAGATTGTACGTAGAGGCTGCTGCATGACGAAGGCGTAATATCTATTGGCGCGAGCGCGGCTATGTTAGCCTCAGAGCGCATGACGCGCCGGATCTACAGCGGTGAGGATAAGCGCGCGCAGCGTTCGCGCCCACTCAACTAGTATTGCTTCTGCGCCTTCGTACTGCAGTAGCCTTTACTTTTTCCATCACTCATGACTTCGTCTCAAAGGCGTTTACAGGTATGAATGAGGAGTTTTGTATCGCGTCGTACGGTCCAATGGTACACGGCTTGTTTAGACCACTTCGACTCCTGATCATCTCCTAGTAAGTAAGTTTTGAGCAAGTTTGTTAAATCGGCTGCCCATTATCGCACCAAATTACGGCCCTCTATGCATCAGATGTTGACTCTTGTTGAGCTGAGGTGAGTGGTGGTTTTGAAATTTATCTACTCTGAAGAGAGTGACACGGCGCGAACTTAGGCGGACTCTGGGGCAACCGCTTAAGTTTGGCGAGCGCCGCCTTTTATCTTACAAATTACGTCTAAAGGCAAATCACGATTTAGTGGGGTCTCATCAACCCAAGTTTGCCTAAGGACCGGGCATACCGAGAAGCGAATGCAGTCGCGAATCTGCGAAAAGCAAGAGCAAGCGGCTGAAAGCGGCTGCATGCACCTCTATCGTACCTTCAATAATTTAGAGACAGGGCCTCAAAAATAAAGGCTGTTCAAAGATCTGCCACCCAAAAAAGTGAAGATTGTTTCTAAAAAAACAGAGAAGAAAGAAAGATACAAAACAAATGACTAAAGCAGAAGAAACCTCCAAAAATCTGACCAAAAGTGCAATGAGTTTGAAATCTTTCATTTGGCAACATCTCGAATGGAGATTTTCGTTTCAGGACCAGGCAATATATAACACGGGAGGACGAGGGAAAGCTAGTTTCTTTTTTGTGTGATTGTTTTGAAAACGAACATAATTTATGAAAAGATAAAATTTTGTTCACCCCCAAGTAGAAATGCATGTCAAAGATAATCTAGCTTTTAATGCGTCTTTTGAATCCTTAACTACTTTTCATGGTTTCTGTTTTTGGTGACTTTATCAGCTTTATGCTCAATATCCTGAGCAGAATGCTCCAAATCGTGTAAAAAATGATTACTAGCCCTCATAAGGCCTATGAACAAAAACAGACTTCGCCAGATATATCACCGCGGTCAGATAAATTAGCCCCTCAACGTTGCCTGCATTATAAAGAGAAGCGATATCTATCGTATTCACGAAAAAACTGTTTGAAAAGGACTAAATTGGACAGAGACCAGGAATTTCGAAAACACTTTCTGCTAGATTTATCGTTCAGATTAAAAAATGGGGTTCTGCGAAGTTGTTAGCGCGAAAGCAAGATCAAGAGCTCTTTGATACAGTATACAGTTTGTTAGAATTAAATTGAACAATGAAAGAAAAGAGTATGAGAGCCAAATGCCCCAAACCCAGAGTCGACGATGCATTTGGCTCTGGTCGTAGATTTCCTCAAGGTCTCAACAAAACCCTGCAATATGGCACATCTTTCTGATCGTCATGACACGACTAGGAGCACTGACAACATCGCAAGATTTAAAAGTCACTTCCTAACAAGATAATCTAGTTTTTTTGTGCGACTCTCTTGCTCAGATAATCGCCGGGGGCAGGCGGCCATGCGATTTTTGGGCAAGCGGGCACCGGAAAAATAGTTTGCTGATTTCTTGCGGCCCGCTTGCAGATATTTGGAAGATTTTTAACGAAATTTTAGACGAATGCTTGGAAAACAATCGCGGTTTCCTTACAGATTAGCTGCGGCGCAGTGGCCGCATTCTCGCGGACTTTCCGCGAGAACATGCAAGATTTTCGGGGGCCGCACGGTCCTTTGTGGAGGACCGCGCAGCCCCAGGTACTTTCCGCTGAGAGAAAGTACCTCAAACTTGAGTAATTAAACCATCGATGGCACATCTGTCATGAAGAGGCTCACCTTTGCTCGGCGTATGGACGAAACTGCTTAAAAACCGTCCGAGCGCCAGCTGAAAATTTGACTAGCGCTCGCTGAAAGAGATTATTTGACGAGCGCCTGCAGAAAATTCTGTGTTGCTGCCCGCTGGCAGAATATTAGACAGTAAAGGAAGTGCCGCCCGCTGAAGGTTTGGCCACGCCCCAAAATTCTGCTGACCGCCTGCAGAAAAATGCGAGTTTGCGAACCGCCTGCCCCCGGCGATTGTCTGAGTAGGAGTTAAGCGCAGTTTTGTTTTTCTTAGATTAAAAAACTCCTATGAGTTTCTGAAACTCATTAGCAGTCTAAAAGGAGGTCGGTTAATAGGTTAGATGTTGTTCTGAATTCTATGAAAATTACATAAAAACCTCTTTTTTAGCTTAAAAAGGCTATGTAAACGCAGCTATTTCCCGCTGTTGGGCTATTTTTTGAGATATTCACTACACTTACTTCATATACATTCATTCTGATATAGTTATGATCTTAAAAAACACAACGTTAACCAAAACAACGTTCACCAACAACAGAAACGTCCTGGGCTGCTCTCAGGATGATTCTGTTTTTGGTGAACGTTGGGTTCTTTTATATTGCTCGGAGTAAAAGTCACCAGAGTATATGGCCTATGTAGCGAAGGTATGACCCCTCTCATGCGCCTCATCCGTGCCAGTTGTCCGGCGCGACTCATCGATGACCTTTCTTGCTAGCCCATATCTGGCTCAGCAAAGTCGTTGCGATTTTCGCTCATCTTGGCGAATTTGCGTCGCTCGTTTGAAGTGAGCGACGCGATGATATCGCTAGGATTGGGATTTGTTGCCAAGATTATCGTTCTTCACTTTATTAAACTGTTTTTTGTCAGGAGATTGAAAACCAGTCCAGTGTTGTCAGAGTGCATTGGGTTTCTGTGAAATGCTTTTGCACCTATCCGAACTTCGTCCATCTTTTTTCTTGGTTGATAGCCCAACTATCAATTTGATTTATTATAATGATTCTTGTGTCTGTCCTTTGTATCAAAGCGCGAGGGAAAGATCATTCGATGAGGCTGTCTAGAATTCGCAGGAAATGAGCTGGATCGTGAGAACGCACAAATTGCTGCAGTGCAGTGGCGTACCGAGGGGGGGGCGCCCTCCCCCGAGAATGTTTTGCGAAATTTTTGAAAGTTACTTAAATGTGTTATAAAAATGTGCAAAGGACTTGTTTTTACTTGTAAATAATTAAAACAATTTTTAAAAATTTTTAAAAATTCTAAGGTTTGTAAAAAAAATTTTTCGGGGGTGTGGCTGCGGCCACGCTCCCCTTTTTTTGAAATTTTGGGCTCAGGGGCCCGGAAAAATTTTGGAAAACATCCCAAAAAATTTTTCGGAGTGCGTGGCTGACGCCACGCACCTTCATTAGAAATTTTTGTCGCCCCCCCCCCCCGAGCCGAAATCCTGGGCACGCCACTGCTGCAGTGGTATGCCCATGTCCGAGCGAGCGATTCCGTATGGCGTTTCCGTCGTTGTTTTCTAGCCGGTCGCGGCGATTCCAATGCCTGTAGTATGCTCGACCCTTTGAACAACCCTAAAAGCTGTTTGAATATTGGCAGAATTGCAGGTCTCAACCAGGTGAGCATCAAAGACTTTGATGAAAATAATTTTGTGTTGTAGTCAAAGTTCATGATTTGATGAGCGTTTCATTGCAGGATCATCTAGGATCATTTGTTAGGCATCGTTCTTAGGCATCGTTCGCATGCTTAGACAGTGAACAAAGATCGGAGACCGCTGTGTGTCTCCTCGTCTAACAGTAAACAATTTTCTTTTTGTTTTTTTTTACCTTCAGCGTCTCCAATGACGCACATTCCACCAACACAGAGGGACCTGGGATAAGTGCAGGCTACGTCGGCTGTACAAGGTTCCCCTGTTTCCCACAGCGGTTCATTTTTACGAGGGCTGAAAATGTTCAAGTGTAATGACGCTGATTGTTTGGCACCACTGTAGATACTCATAAAAAGCAAACAAACCCAGATATTCTTTCTTGGACAAGTTTGGGGCAGCAAAAAAGTAAATTCGGATAAAAATTCTTGGGCGGTTCGCAGATCTAGTGAGCTCGGAACGCTGCAGCCATACAACGAAATTCTACGAACCAAAAATGCTTGTAAATATGTTAATAACAAGGCAATTGCAAAATATTGCGAGCGATATATACAACCTTTGAAAACTTTGGGATGCATGGTTGCGTAGAGATGGGGGGGGGGAATGAGGAATCTGAGGGGGAGGTGAAGGAAGAAGGGCAGAACGAGGAGAAAAGAATTGAGGACAGGGGAGGAGAGTGTGGAATGCAGATGCCGCGGGCGTTTTATGATGATCGCTTGCTATAAATAAAGTACATTTGCAATCATCAATAAAATATTAGGTGGGTCCGAAAGTTTTGTCGGTTTTTTCAATCCATCGGCAAGCACTCTAGAATGAAGATAAACAAACGCTTAAAAATGATCCAATGCAGAATTTCCTCCTCTTTTCAGCTGCTCGACTACCATTGTGTTTTGTTGCGAAAATGACGAGATATTTGGTGGGAATTACAACCACTCGTTTTTACCATGTCCAACTTCCACTAATTTTCAAAATTTTTGTATGAGACTTTCGGAGGAGCCCTGAAAACCAGCGGATAGGGCAAACCTTTTGCCAACAGAAGCAATTTTTTGTAGCCCTACGGCTTTTCTTTCAGAATCTCTACAATTTATTTTTTGAAGTGACCAAATTTTACAATCATCCTATCCTACTATATTCTAGATAATAGTTTCTGTCGCTTTAGCATTTATGCCTTAAAACAAAAAGTTGGAGTTCCTCAAGGTGGTAACTTTAGCCCATTATTAGCAGATCTTACACTTTCCTGGTACGAATATAAGTATTCCATTGAAAATATCAAGAACAATTCCCAAATAATACCATATAGATATATGGATGATCTATTACTTATTCATAACATGGAAGAAAATACTATCCATAAGTTGGTCGAAAAGATTTACGACTATAAACTTCTAATAGAAGCTACACACTTAAATACCCATAGCTGTAACTATCTCGATTTGAATATTGGAATAGTAAACAATAGATTGAGTACAAAATTGTATAATAAAACTGATTACTTTAATTTTAACGTTAAAAGATTCATACATTCTACATCTAGTATCTCATTCAATATTAAAAAGGCAACCACATATACAGAAACTCTTAGAATAGCGAGAACATGCACATACTTAAACGATTTTGTACAAAAAGTCTCACAACTTAGAGATATACTCCTTGAAAATGAATATGACATTAATACAACTTCATCCTCAATTTTCAAATGCCTAAATAGAAATAGATTCATACTCTTAGGTTGGCACGAAAGTTCTTGCGTAATTCAAAGGAAATTCAATACTTTTCAAAGACTAAACCTAAATTCACAATCTTGTATGCTGAAAATATTAGAAGTCTTACGCTTCATGATGGATGTTTAAGCATAAGATTCCGTGAGCTGGACATCAAGAACAAAGCTCTCGAATATGGGGCTTCAAATTTTGCGATTTTGAGTTTGGTGCCAGAAAATCGCAGAGTGCCGCTAGCTAGCCGAAAAAAATCTGTAGAATTTACTTACACAACAAAAGTCCATATGTTACTTTGAAAGGCTTTGATCTTGCACAGTGAAGCAAAAACAAAAAATTCGTGAAATATGTCATTTTGCGGAAAAAATCCCCTCATGTCCGCAGTTTTCCGGCGAAAACACTTTTTTACAATCGAGAAAACGTCACAAGGCTCTAAATAGGCACTATGTTTAATTTCTGGTTGCAAGCTGTGTTTCTGTGGAAAAGTTAGAGCGATAAGGGGATTTGTCCTGTGAAATGAGAATTTCCACAAATTTTTTATTTTCGCGTTTCCATGCGAGATCAAAGCCTGCTAAAACAACGTATGGACTTTAGCTGTGTAAGTAAATTCTACAGATTTTTTTCGGCTAGCTAGCGGCACTCTGCGATTTTCTGGCACCAAACTCAAAATCGCAAAATTTGAAGCGCCATATTCGAGAGCTTCGTTCTTGATGTCCAGCTCACGGAATCTTAGGCTTGAGATATACCTGACGATGGAGGTATAGCGGGTGTTGGCGAATCGCTGATGTCTGCGCTGCCCTTAGCTGCTCGTGGCTGCTGCGCTGGGTATGCTGTGGGTGCAAGAACGAATTAGCTTTATCCATTACTATGCTTAGCTTAGGTTATTAAGGAAAGTAAGTCTTGACGATTACCAAAATTGAGAAATAATATGAGACCCAAAAAAGTCGTACTGTTTTCATCAAGAAATTTTCTTCATAACAAGCATAAAATGGCGTGCCAAATGTTGCATAAACTGAGAAAATTTTAATCATTTGACAGATATCAAGCGAGTGTCACAGTTGAACCTTGATGTGTGCTTGAGGCAACATCTAAACTATCTAGGTCATAGCAGACGTTAATTTGTTGAGGTGTACTAGTAATATCCCACTGAATCGTTTGAATCCTCTAGCTTTTCATCGTTACTCTAATCTGACTACGCAGTTGATCAGATTATTCTTTGTCGACTTTGTCAATTCTTTATCGATTTTCTTATCGATGCATTTGCGTTTCGGTGAAAATTTGTCATGTTCATCAGTATCGAAACTGCTCTGAAATTCCTTCAGAAGTTCAGAAATATGTTAAAAAGGAGCAAATCCGAGCAAAATCAGCGTTAGCAGCTCGAAGCAGCTGAGAGAAGCTCACAAAAAGTGAGCTTCATATCGCGTAGCAGCGAGGAGCAGCAACGAGCAGCTGAGAGCAGCAGAGAGCAGCATGAAGCAGCGCAGCATCGCTAGCTATAGCGGGTCTGCTTCGCGTTGGCTGCAGCAGCTAGGAGCAGCAGCGTCGCCTGGCGTCAATCGATACGCACAAAAGACGTTGCTGCTTGCAGCGTCTTATCGTCAGCTATAGCCACCCATCGTCAGGTATATCTCAAGCCTTACGCTTGAACATCCATCATGAAGCGTAAGACTTCTAATATTTTTAGCATACAAGATTGTGAATTTAGGTCTAGTCTTTGAAAAGTCGTTGAATTTTGTTTGAATTACGCAAGAACTTTCGTGCCAACCTAATATACAGGGTGTCCCAAAAAAATGTGCCTACTGTTTGATTGTAAATAACTCTCTTCTAATGAAGTGTTTCGAGAAGCTTTAGGTACCGTTTTGTAAAGCGAGCTTGAACTTAGATTTGCATTATGGGAGCGAATCATCTATCGCTCTTTATTACTGTAGGATTACGGTACGAACTTCGACAAGGATTTTATGTCATTGGAGGCTATATTCTGCCTCGGAATAAAACCAAACAAGCCAGAAACTCTTACATTACGGTAATGGGAGCCGCTGATCTCGAATTTGAAATTCCCATTTTACTGCGATGCTTCTTTCCTAAGTTATCGCCGGTAAATCGTGATAAATCAATTCCTTGCATTTGTCAGAAATGTAATTACACCGTCAAAAAAGCTGAAAACACTCGTAAAAAGTTGTTAAATGGAATCAGCATGCGCGAAAACCCTAGTATACGATTTTTCAGATTTTTTGAAAAAAATTTTGTTAAATGGTATATTTCACAATGGTTCCATATGCTGGAAGTTCATACCGTAATCTTACAGTAATGAAGAGTGATCGATGATTCGTTCCACACTGTAAATCTAAGTTCAACCTCGCTCTACAAAACGGTACCTAAAGCTTCTCGAAACACTTCATTACAAGAGAGTTATTTACAATCAAACAGTAGGCACATTTTTTTGGGACACCCTGTATTAGGTGGGTGCAAAAGTTCTGTCGTTTCATTTTCAAAAATTTGTAATTTCGCCAAATTTCAACGGATTTGCTTGCCTGTATTTTTATTAGAAAGAATAAATCTTCCGCTTTCAAGCGCTTTTTTGTGGAGCTTCTGTTTCACACTGAGTGCCGACATAAAAATGGAAAACTAAGACCATGTAAACTTTGACCATTTTAAGTTAGGTCACCAAAAATCTGGAATGCTGCAGAAAAATCTAAAATCGTCAGCACATATGTTTATGGCCTACTCTTTGCAATTGTGAAGAGTTTGTGCTGTTTGGACGTCTCTTTGAGAAGTTATGATTTTCGCGAAAATTCACTAATCAATTGATTTTGGCGTTTTCCATGGTAAACTCGATATTCATAACTTCTCACAGAGACGTCCAAACAGCACAATTTTTCACAGATGCAAAGTGTAGGCCAAAAAACATATGTACTGAAGATTTCAGATTTTTCTGCAGCGTTCCCGATTTTTGGTGACCTAACTTAAAATGGTCAAAGTTTGCATGGCCTTAGTTTTCCATTTTTATCTCTGCATTCAGTGCCAAACAGAAGCTCCTCAAAACAGCGCTTGAAAGCGGAAGACCTATTCTTTCTAATAAAGTTACAGGCAAGCAAATCCGTTGAAATCTGGCGAAGTTACAAATTTTAGAAAATGAAACGACAGAACTTTTGCACCCACCTAATATAAATATAATATATTCAATAACAAATTCATGAAATTTTCAAAGCAAAAAATATAATAGATTATAAAATATCAATAAAAATTATAATCAACCGAGATATATGAAACGAAGTATAAATGATATATTCAACACAAATGATAACACAATCGGAATAAACAAGTCAAGACAAGTCCATTCTTACTTTGAAACACAGAAGATCATGCGACACAAAGAAGAACTGGACGACAACTGAAGTATAGAAGTTGAGTTTTACAATTTTTTATAAAAAATTTTCTCAAAATCAAACTAGACCCTCTCTCCTTACTGAAGGGTCCCGGAGAGGGTCTAAAACTCAAAACTCCGTCTAAGGAAAGGGACGAAACGGAGACGAACATAGATAAAATTGTTTTTTCTTTATATTCGTAGAACATAAAATGTTG